CAAAGCCCAGTACTACCTTAAATATATGAGACGAGCCCTTTCCAGGTTGGTACTCAGCGTAGGACCTAGTAAACCTCAAAATAGCAACATTCATTCTGATAGTATTAGTACAGGTATAATAGTATGTGATTTATCCGCACGGATCCTGCCTGCATGTCTGCCATGTTCACTGTGTATATCTGCGTACCAAAGTCGACCTGCAATCGCAATAAGTGTACTCGAAGTTTCGCTGGCGAGAGTTTGCGGTCACCAAGGCGGTAGAGGGCCTGGGAGAGAGAACGTATTGACTCCGCCTTCTGTACACACTCGCATCGCTGGCAGTTGGTTCCCCCCACCCACTACCCCCAGATGTCTGAATGATCAGAGTGTCACCTTTGCGTACGTTGGTTGTGCTTTTTGGACCAAGGTCGACAACTCGGTTTGGTTCCAGGTCGGAAGTGGCCTTCCTGATCAACAGATTGACGCCAGCCTCGCCGTGACAGCCCCCGTGGAAACCATCCGAGCTTGGGGGTTGACACTCTGACATGACCGTCAGGCTGACGGGCCTTAGGAACTCAATTACTCTATTGCATCCATCGCCACCATAGAACTGTCCTTGTCCACCACTGCCATGCCGGACACTGAATTCCCAGACTAAGCAAGGGTACTGTCTTTCCAATAATTCGGCATCAATGATTCGTGTCTTTGTTGTCCCTACTTCCATAGCGCTTTTTCCGTGCCAGTCAGGACCAGCGCAGGACCCCCCAACTATTGTTTCTTGATGCATGAAGCCTGGTATGTACGTCCCATCGGGAGCAATGCGGCCCCTAACGCTGAACATCAGGTTATGAAGACGTCCACTGGAATAGATGTCAAAGCACTGCGACATCAACTCCAGAACGTGATGAGAGGCGACCCGCCTTTGGCTGATGGCGTCACCAGACTGAGGGATTGGCGTTGTTCCAGCTTGCGATGGAAGAATGATGTTAATTGGATTGAGTAAACCCTGGCTGAACCGGAGATCTCCCTGGATCCAATGATGCAACAAGTACATTATGGCAGCTTGAGCCACGTGTGCAGGAAAATTAGTCCTGGCTTCACAGTATAATTAGCCGAAAGTATCATAGCACATAAGTGGGAAGCTTGGAGCATACCAGTGCCAGTGAAATCAAAGTCGGCTTCTCCCTTGTCATAATCAACCGTGATTTTCAGACACATGGGACTACCATCACTCATCAAATCGGTCGCGACTAACGGCCTACCGCCACGCTTGTCGTGAACAATTCTTAACAGCTGACGAACCGCGGTCTCGGGCCTTCTTTCCAAAGCCTTGACATACGCCTACCCATTGATTAGTCGGATTCAGCCAACCGCTGATAAGGGATCTCTGCCACTCACCGATATTACATTAATTTCTTGACCCTTCAAGAGCTTCGTTAAAGCTTCCCGTCCTTGCTGGTTCGCGTCAACCAAGACACGAAGGTTGTCAAGATTGTCGGCCTTATAGCTCGAATCACTGCAGTCAGAATGTTGATTGCGCTCTGACAGGACATACTTCTCGATACTTTCTTCGTTGATGGCGCCGTCCTGCACTAATTCAGCTGGTATAATCTCTCCGTGCTCTTGCCAGGGCTCCTTCGATATCAACTCTGATGAATTGGTATATATACCACTGGACGCGCAGTAGAATGCGATGACGCCGCCATGGAATACAGGGGTGACCACAGTAATATCGAGAGGATGAGTGCTCCCGCACAATCCTGGATCTTGGTTAGGTCATGTCGCACAAGTTGTCGGAAACCCTTCGAATCCGACTTACTGGGTTGCCTGAACACAAGAATATCTCCGTCTTGTAGCTTGTGCTTCCAATTTCCGCGGTTGGACTGCACGGCACATTTCAAGGTGCTGATGTGCGATGGACCGAAGGGGGCTAAGTAGTATGATGAGGTCAGCGATTGTACCTATAGGTCGTCTTCAACAAGGCCTTCCTACCGCAGGCGATCAATCTGCTATTTGCAGAGAAGATGCCGCATGATAACTTCAAGTGTTTCTTCATCTCATCGCTCATGTCTGTCCTCCGCAGCATTCGCCTCATCTTCTTCATCGTGGATGAAAATCGATAATCGAATATTGCAAATTGAAGAGGGTCAATCGCGATCTTTTGAGCGGCTAGACGTGCCGTTGGCGAGTCTATGTCGATCACCACATGGCTCCTCAGAATTGTTGCTTGCGCTTTCGGGGTCACGAGAATGGTTTGGGTATCGTCGACGATCAAGGCCGGTCCTTCGATTCGGTCGGCTGTTCTTAAGCTTTCAAGGCGATATACTGGAGTGCGCTGCCAACCGCGCTCCCCGAAATAGACATCTTTACTCATCACCCTCGCCTCGCATGATGGAGCTCGGAACTCCCCTAGGCGTGCAAGTTGCTGGGCTGGAGATAGATCACTGGGGGGCTTCTTGACCCCGACTGCACGCAATCGGACGGTGCAGGCAACTACCGGCCGTGCTGCTATGAAGCCATACTTCTTTTTGTGTACGTCTGCAAACTTCGTTGTGAGCTCCAACTCATTTTCCGGTTTCGAGATCGCAATGATGGTATCGGAACCTTCATAGTGCATAAGGATCTCGACCTTGAACTTGATGCCGTCTGCATCCCCAATCCCCCGTTCGCGAAGCTCGGATTCCGCCTTAACTCGTAATGAGGCCTCGATTTCCCGGATTCGAGAAATGGTATCTCTGCGAAAGACGCATTCAAGCGGCTCTTCCAGTTCCGAGACCAGACTCCCGAAGGCCATGCCGTACGCGGATAGCATAGAGCTGCGGTGATGCAGGATGACCCGGTTGATGCCCAAAGAAGATGCAATGGAGCAAGCATGCTGGCCTGCAGCACCACCAAATGCAACGAGGTCGTGGCTACTAGCCTCGTGATCTCGTGTTTCTGTCTGCCTGCGAATAGCGCGACACATATTCTCTTCTGCAATCTGCAAGAACTTGAGTGCCACTTGCTCTGGGGTCAGCTTAGTTGCCTCTGAATTAGCACTTTTGTTAATATCCGAACACAGGCCGTTGAACATCCTTCTGGTCACTGAAATATCAAGCCCATTGTCCCCATTTGGTCCACAGACCTTGGGGAAACACTCTGGTACCAAGCGGCCCAAGAGCAGGTTCGCATCAGTGACTGTTAAGGGTCCCCCTTTCCGATAACAAGCTGGGCCAGGTTGTGCACCGACACTGTCGGGCCCTACTTCCGCCGACCCATTCGACCAGTATAGTTGAGAACTTCCGCCAGTCGCAATAGTGTTGATGTTTAGCTGAGGCAACTCGATGGTATTACCGGCCAGCGTTGTCGTTACACGTTCGAATTCACCCGCAAACCGCGATATTTCTAGTGCATGGTCAGCAAGGAGGGACCATCAGGGTTGTTCAGTCAAACCGCTTACTTGTTGATGTACCGCCCATATCAAAGCCAATGAGCGGTTTGCCGGATGATCGATCATAACAGGTCGAAGCATATCCTAGCAGGCCACCCACCGAACCGGACAGGATACCCTTGCTCCCCACAATATCGTGTATATGAGCCATTGTTCCATCATTCTGCATGAATTCGCATGGGGGAAGAGTGGAATCCCTTTGCTGACCGACAAACAAGTTTCTAAAATGCTCGACATGTTTTCGTATGATCGGTGTTATGTATGCGTGCAAGGTAGCCGATTCGGCGCGTGAGACCAATCCAATCTACCACTGTCAGCCTTACCATCACAGAAGTATGGCTCAACCTCTGAACACAATAGGGAACTCGACATACCTTTGGATTCAGAAGGGAACTGACTGTCACATTGAGACCAGCCTTCCTGGCCAGATCTGCCAGTCTAAACTCATGGTTTGGATAGACAGAACTGTGCATGAGGCAGATGCTTACACTTCGGATTCCACGGTCATGCATTTCCACAAACTGCTCTTCAATGATACCCCAATACGGTTCTCGCATGATCCGTATAACTTGCTGCGAGATACCTGTGTCAAATTTTGTACCCGGTTCAACATTGGCCACTTTGCCTCCCGGATAGTCTGGAGGAGGTTCCAAGATTACTCGCTCGTCTACCTCAAGAACCTTCTCGTACAACGCCATCGGCTTCGGAACGGTGAAGCCGAAGAGGTCAAGCGGTGCTTGGTCACCAAGCAAGAGAATATCACGGAATCCCTTTGTGATCACCAAAGCAGACCGTTCGCCCTTTCCTTCTGAAAGAGCATTTGCCGCCACTGTCGTACCCATGCGGATACTCTTCACTTCACTCAAGTCAAGTGGCCGTCCGCGTGGTATCTGGCTCCCGCTAGCAATCTCAAGTACACGACGAATACACTCTGTTGGTGCGTCATGGTACTTTTGCGGGTCGACGGAAGGCAGCTTCAAAGTGATATCTGATTTACCAGGAACTGATGCATAGATATCAGTGAAGGTGCTACCGCTATCAATGGAGATGCTGATTCCCGAAGCAGCCATATTGATATGTCTGATTCTGTCTGGATGCTTTCAACTCAACTTCCCTCAGAGCTCGAAGGCCCGGGGGCCTTGCTCCTTTAACCACCAACTACTACTGCATACTACATCATGGTTGCAAGGGTTCTGTGCTCATGCATCCCAGCACGAATGAACCGGCATCTACCTGGAGTAGGGCTGAGCCTATCACGCCAAGACATGTGAACTGCGGCATACAGGCAGCCGCAATTGATGCCTTGGTGCCTGATCAGGCTGCTGCGGCTTGCAGACAGCCGATGATTTCAGTGTGTGTGTGTGTTTACTGCGGCTTACATGCATCCGAAGAGAAGCTTTTGCGCCGATGAAAAATAGCCGGACCCCCCCCTGCCCTTGCGGCAAGGATCGGCTCAGGCATACTACTGCTACATGGTTCACAGATCGCGCACTTATCACCACTTTTGCTTCTACGTTTAATTAACACAGCAAAAGTTCGACTTCACACTACGGTTATTGGTCGACACTATATGACGCACCCAACGGAAACAATGTCCGGGGAATCAGGATCGGATACCTTGCACATTGCTATCATCGGAGCGGGTATAGGAGGACTCGCTCTAGCCATCGGACTCTCTAATCAGAATGTTTCTTTCACTTTGTATGAATCGGCCGCGCAGTTTAGTGCAGTTGGTGCGGGAGTCGGCCTAGGCCCCAATGCACTACGTGCGATGGAGCTGATAGACCAGCGGTTCCGACAAATGTACAATCAAATTTCCTCGGGAAACCTAACTCCCAACAAGGAGCACATAGCGATGGAGGTTCTTTACGCGGAGGATGGTTTTGGTGAAATGCGAGGCTGGCAGGCTGCACCGTTTGGGGCCGATTCCTATACCCGAACCAGTGCCCATCGGCGAGACCTCTTAGACATTATGACGAGTTTGATCCCCAAAGAGCGCGTGAAGTTCAACAAGAGGGCCAAAGAAATCAAGCAGACTACCGAGAACAGCAAGGTTATTGTCACCTTCGAAGATGGCGAAGCCATCGAGGCGGATGCGGTCATCGGATGTGACGGTGTGAAGAGCGCGACGAGGCAAGCCGTCCTTGAGACCCTCTATCCGGATCAAGTGAAAGCCCTTTTTAGCGGAAAGTACGCCTACAGATCGATCGTGCCAATGAAAGACGCTCAGGAAATCCTCGGTGTGCATGCGGGGGATGCTAAGGCATTCATCGGCCACGGGGTGAACATCATGACCTACCCCATCTCCCGCGGCACGGAGCTTAATGTGGTCGCGACCAAATTGACGAATAAGCCATGGACGCACCCTGAATGGACCAACGAGGTCACTAAGGAGGATATAGTGGCCGACTTTGCAGGTGTGGCGGATCAGCGCATCGTTAGACTGTTGGACGTATGTGTACTGTGTAAACCCAATCTTGCTAGTTTAGAGCGACTAACGGACTTGATTAGTGGGCCAAGCCAGTACAATGGTCTCTGTGGCACCATCCGAGCACACCGACCTATTGTAACGAACGGATCTGTCTCCTAGGCGATTCGGCCCATGCCACTACACCTCATCAAGCTTCTGGCGCCGGCCAATGTCTCGAAGATGCGCTCCTTATGTCTCACATACTGGGTCTTGTGAAGGATTCTAGTGAAATCCCCACGGCATTTCAAGTTTACGACGGTATTCGCCGGCCACGAGCGCAGGCCGTTGTTACCACAAGTCAAGACTGTGGGAAGCTCTATACGTTCACGCACCCGGAATTAGCCACCGATATGTCCAAAATCGTCGCGAATCTCAACCAGCGCTTTCTCTGGATTTGGGAGCATGACTTGAGCATGGATTTGGAAATTGCTCGAAGCCAATTCGCCGCCTTGACACAGAATGCCGAATGTAACCTTGAGCAGTCAAGATTATGAAAAACATGAGTTTGAAATACCCCGTTTTTGGTGCTGCTTGATTCCCAGATTTTTTTAAAAATCTTGATTTGGTTTACTTTAAATCCTTACACGCCTGTCCAGCACAACACAGAAAAAGAAATATCCAAATTGCGTCTCGGCGAAACTGCCGTTCTCAGACTCCCACTATATGCCAGCGTCTTGAGGCTATACCTAGCTTGGGGTGTGCAATTGCTAGCTGTTATTTCAGGAGACTTAGCGCTGCTTTTCTGTACGCATATACAGAACTCATGAGAATATTCACTTACCTACCAGAAATTAAGGCAGAAGTTATACTTCCGCGACAAAGCAAGACTTCCGTGCCCCTTCCGTCTAGCGCCCGGGCTCTCACTGGTCAGTGCCCGGTGTCAGTGAAAAACGCCATGTTGCAGTTCATTGGCGCATTCATGGTCTCCGTCCCCAGTAGCATGCACCCAATTGAATCCCAAGAGTAAAAGCCACCCTCGTCGTTCATGAACGGCATCCCCATTGTAGGGTTACTGGAGCCGTCATTAGGAACAATCAACGCCGAGTCAAGGTGAGAGACACCAAGGTCTGCGCTGGGTTGCATAACTACTCCCATATCATGGATCGGTGCATACGTCTGAGTCGGCATTGACGGGACAATCTCGACAATGGCATCCGCCGCGCTTGAACCGGCGTTGACATCGCGTTGAACACGCTGCACTAGCTGATGTGAAGGAGCTAGCTTCTCGTGGACCAGCACATCAAGGTCGCAAATCATTCCAATCCAGCGCCGCATGGTTCCAGGAACCATAGGGTTGGAGGAATGGTTGACGACGATGGTCGCGCAGGAATGCAGAAGAGCGAGAGATGAATCAATGGTAGTCCGGTCACTGCGCTGTTGCGCTTGATCCCACATGAGACCCAGCGCTAAGACCAGGGTGGATGAATACACAAAATACACGTCCCACCAGGTCACAGCGTTGAACTTTCCACACTTGTGGAGCTGTACTAGCAGCTCGCAGCTCTTACGACCAGATTCGCAACAGACTTTGGCTGTCAGCTCGATCTCCTCCTCGTTCCCATCGCTGGTCGACTGTTGTGATAGCGATCCAAGATGTTGCATCAGGGAATGACGGGTGAGGAGGGAGACGGTGTAATGGTACTGGATGTGCAGTAGAAGTACAGGTCTCTTAAACGAATCCGGTAGTGTGTCAAATACATTAAGTGACAGATGCTGCGGTAGCGAAGCATGCCATCTAGTCAGATCGCGAAGCAACCCCGCTGCGGGAGAGAGGAGGCCTGAGAGTCCCGTAAGCTCAGGGTCACTCGCGGCGGTTGGCAACGCACGGCACGCAAAGCCAAGAATGGATGTAAGCCGGGTCGACCAGAGAGTGTAATTCGGAGGATAGAGGGAGGATCCGATCCCCAGGAGCCTCTCGTGGGGCGAGCTGGTGGAACACATCGTGCCATCCAGGGCACTGGGTCGGTCGTGGGAGGAGACCTGGATCTGCTCAAAGCTGTAGAGTGTCCACCACAAGAGACGCCTGAGCTCTCGAGCCAGTCGTGGGCCCTCACAGACAATATCGTCCCGATGAAGGCCGATGGCAACCGCAATGCGCGCTGCCGCCCCTGTCAGGGTCCAGCATACATCCCGATGGTTTGTATTATGGAGGTGCAGGGCAGCCAGCATCAGCGCCTGGATTGATTGGATACTGGAGGTGAAGATGATGCTGGGCAGGAGGGATTCGACGTGGGTCCACCACTTTTGCTGCTGGGTCTCAGCGGTCCCCAGTGGGTTTATCCGTCGACCCAAGATCAGAACGCAAAGAAGGGTGCACACCCATGCTCGATCGACGGCTTGTGGAGAAAAGCGCCATCTATCATAATTCTCCAGGAATGACGCTTCGTGAAGGACGGGAAAGTCGACATTGACGTGCTCGAAGTAGGCTCGGACAAGTCCGTCGATCACGGAGGAATCGAGCAAGGCAGGGATATACGACATAGAGCTGCCATTGGCATACGATTGAGGGGGCCTTGCAACGGCACGAATTTCGGATTCCGTGAGGACCTCGATAGTAGACGGCCTCAGACTCTCGTCGGTAGGGTTGCGACCGAACAGTAGCATTTGGCAGATTCGCTCCTGATGACGTCCCAGGAGAGTCCGGAGCTTCAGCTGGAAGAAGTAGGAGCTTGCAGGGCCAATGTATTGCCCCTGACCCTGCTGGTCTTGTACTAGGTGTTGGTGTTTCTTCTCCACGCGTACCACTTCATTGTTCTGGCTGGGCTCGGGCTGCGGAGCATGGTACTCGCCCTCCTCGATTTCCGGCATGGGAATCCCCAGAGATTCTCCGACTTCCCGCATGCTCTCGAAGGAGGATAGGTCGGCATCAGGGATGAGACCTTTCACCAAAGCCTCCAGCAATACCATACGAGCACGCACATGTTCTGCGCTGCCATACAGCCTTTGTTTGCGCGGCCTCGTAACGGCACATTTGTAGTTGAAGCGCTCGCAGTGTTCACAGCGGGCCTGGTCAGGGATTCGGTTGCACTTCTGCTTTCTCGTTTTGCACCTGTCACAGCTGTGCTCCGTGCGTTTCCGTTGCTCGGGTGGAACTCGACGATCTGACTTCTTGGTTGTTCCTGTCATTGTGTCTGTGGGAGATCCAACGGGAGATCATCCGGGAGGACCGACTGGAGGAGAGAAAGAGGAGTTGCGGGCTGCATGTAGCCGCCGTGGCCCTGGAGGGATTGTTATAAGTTTTTTGAAGTGGACACCCCTCCGCTAACTTGACAGGGGTCTGGGACGGTCTGGAGACGGCCTGGAGACGGCCTGGAGACGGTGTATGGCGCCGAGTTCAAGCGATATGCAGCCACGGCTCTAGCGTGCACGACCGGTCCTGATAGCGCCGACAAGAGATTAAGCACACGCACAACGGCGAGCGGGTTGCATGCATGCCGCTCGACTTCTGTACGTTCATCTTTGGCGAAAAAATGGAGATCTCCTACGCCAAATATGAAGCTGAATTTGCCTCCCAAAAGTCTTCAGCAATTCCTTTTGCTCCACAATAACAATTCTGCAGTGGTTAGTGTAATTTATACTGAAGAATGCCCCTTCACCTTTTTCTTCTCCAGCTTCGTCTGGTGAGTTTGCATCTCTCAGTGCAAAGATGGTGGACGTAAAGGAATCCCAGGCTGTGGAGGTCCTCCAGACCAAGTCTGTATCATCAGGCGACAGGGAGGCCGATACACGGGTCAAAACCACAGCGCAGGGTATTCCTCTCGTGCCTCAACCTAGCGACGACCCAGAGGACCCGTTGGTGCGTTTTCCTTCAGTCGCGAATCAGTTTGAATGAGTTTCTGACGGTAGAGAGGAAATTGCTTGCAGAACTGGAGCACATTTGTGAAACATGCTGCTCTTGTGGTTCTCGCGTTTGAGTCTTTCATGACCAAGATGTCAAACACTTTGATTGTAGATTCCACTAACCACCCTGGATAGTCTGTGTATGTTTGTTTCTAATACTCTATCTAGGCTCCTGATGCGCTGGAGCTGGCTGAGGAATTCGGAGTTACCAAGTCGACTGCCACGTACATTGGTTCTGCACCTCCCATTCTGAACGCTCTTACCTCCTTCTTCTGGATTCCTTTGAGCCACCGGATCGGCCGGCGGCCTGTCCTCCTAATGGGCAATTTGATTGCCCTGGTCAGCTCCATTGGAGTGGCTCGCTCTCAGACGTATGCGCAAGCTCTAGCCTGTCGGATGGTCATGACGTTTGGTGGGAGTGTCGGACTGTCCATCGGTCCGGCTGCCATTTCGGATATGTTCTTTCTTCACGAAAAGGGCTCCCGCATGGGAGTCAACAGCATCTTGCTCGTTATCGGTCCATATGTAGGCGGAGTTGCTGGTGCGTCAATTGCGTACAATCCAAATCTCGGATGGCGGTGGTCCATGTACATCGCAGCCATTCTATATGCTGCGCAGTTTGTCTCCCAGTTCCTTTTTGGTAAGTCACGCTCTCCAGCAGACATCCTATAAATGCTCTTACATTGATAACCTTTTTCAGTCCCGGAAACGATCTATGTACGAGACGAGAATGGCCAGGGTGTGTCCAAAAGCTCAGAGCCGAAGCCTACCACATTCCTTTCTCGACTCAAGTTTCGTCCGCCGCCGCCTCCCAAAGGTGAGAGCTGGGGTAGAACGTTCATTAAACCTTACAAGATGTTCGCCTATCCTGCCGTCTTTCTTCCTTCCTTCTGGTTCGGAGTTGCATGCATGACCGAAGTCGGTAACACGGCGGGATTTGCTCTCAACTTCGGTAGTGACAGTCGCTGGGGTTTCAACCTAGCCCAGGTTGGCTTCTGCTACTTTTCCGGTGTTATTGGAGCCGCTTTGGGAGAGATCTTTGGCGGTCCCCTGTGTGATATGCTGGCGAAGTACTCCATACGGCATGGCAAGGAGTGGAAGCCGGAACGTTTACTCCATCTCGTGTGGTCTGGCATGGTCACTATTTCGGTATGTTCACACCCCATTTCACCCAACTACGAGTCAATTTTTCCTTACAATATACCTGTTAGGCTGGTCTCCTCCTGTACGGACTCGAACTCGAGTACGGCAACAACTGGGCCGCAGCCCTAACCGGAATCGGTCTCTTCACGTTTGGTCAGGAAGTCCTTGTCACTGTGCTCCTGACATACATGACAGACTGCTACCCGGAGGATGCAGCCGAGGTAACCTTGGTGCTCCAGTTCTTCTTCGCCATTCAGACGTTCCATGTGCCGTTCTATCTTCCGCAGTGGATCGAACAGCCAGGCGGCGCCAAAGTTCCCTATATTGTTTTCGCGGCGCTACCGGTGGTACTATACCCCATTTGCATTTGGATCTTTGAGTGGAAGGGCGAGAACATCCGGAAGAGGGGACCCTTGTTCAGGATATAGTTTGCATTCGCCAAGCCTTACGGATGGATACCTCGCATTTGCATTACATCAGATATTTGGTCTTACGCACTAGCATTGGGAGGACATTCTAGTTAATCATAAAACGACTTAAAGTCTCAGCATGAAGCTTTCATAATAGGTGCATCATTTTCTGGCTTCTCACACATTCCTCGATTGGTATTTTTTAAATAAGGGGGGCTGGGGTTTCGGGAAGTCATTGGGAAGGTCAAGCGAAGGGAACTTAGCTAACTAGCTAGCTACACTTAGTCTAGTTCATCTTTTCGAAATGCCTCGTCTCTCTTGGTATGACTTTCCCACTTCCTCGTCCTTTCAAGCCACGATCAGATCAAAGTAATAGTAGTGACCTTTTTCTCTTTGTCTACGGTATTTCTTGTCTCCCCTCCTCTAAGCAGCCGTTTCCCTTCCAAATCACCAACCCAAGTACTATATAGTATTCCCATCACAAAACAAATTCTCAATACATAGATAAGAAACACATCATCCCCAACCCTCACTGACGCGTCCACAACGGTTCATTACGTCCCAAACATTCACATCAGGCCACTCCTCCTCCCTCCTAGCTAGTTAGCTCGTTAGCAAACAATTCTTAGAAACAGAAGAGGTAAGCGGATACAGTAGTGGTAGTAGTTAGGTTGACCGGTGGACCACAAACCACGGACCACATCCCACAAGCGATCTCAATCATCCACTCCCCGACATTTTTCTCCTCCCGGGTAACGCGGTCCGGAGCGCCCTCAATTACCCACCTTTTCTCTACGTACTTTTGCGAATACCAGCTAACGTACCACCAAGATACTTAATAATCCACAAAAGTAAGCAGACTTAGTTATAGTAAAGTGCAACTAAGCCAGATAAGTATCTTCTATCTAGCCTATTAAATGGGAAAAGAGAATGTCTCTGAGATTCTCTGGTACCGAATAGGTACCCACTACGGAGTACATCCACTCTCTTGCACACAACTGAAGCGTTAAGAACTTAAGAGAGGGGGGGTTACAGCACCGCCGGGCCCCTCCAGTAAGGCAGAGAGAGAGCAACTAGACTAAGTTTCTCTTTTGAGTGGGCGGTTCACAGAACTACATACTAGCGGCCGACAGGGATCGGAATCCCATGGTCCAGGTCCACAAACAAAACCTCCACTCCACTCAACTCTCTTTTCGCCGGACATTCACCCGAGTAAGGCCGTTATAATAAGTGGGTTTCCGGTTTTTAGTGAGGCCGTGGATATACTGCTGACTGACGTGCACAGAAGGGTGTGGGTTTTTGGGTGGGGTGGGGGGGGCAGGCCAGGCCAGCAGCGTTAATATGTCTTTCATCCATGCCCTATATTGATTTGAAAGTATGATCGTCGGTTTGTTGCTCTTATCGCTGCGTTGAGAGTGGTTGGGTAATCGCCGGGAGGAGTTTGGGTTGATTAGGGTGGTAGTGCTAGTACTAGTAGTAATAGTAGGTAGCAGCGATACTATTCTTGGTAGGTATTAGCAGGTATAGAAAGTTGTGCTGGACAGGCTTGCATGTGAGAGTGAGAGAGAGAGAGAGAGAGAGAGGAAGACGAGAGGGGGGGATGTGTCTGTCTAGGCTAGGCTAGGCTCCACTGATAGATTAAGTTTGAATATGGAGAACAGCGCACTCCGTACGGAGGACCGAGGACTAGACTAGAACTACTATGTTGCATCGTGCAAATACTATGTTGGTGGGTCTTTCTCTGTCTCTGTCTGTCTCCTACGGAGATTTTGTCCAAGTGGGGATGGTATGAGGTGATGTACTACTCTCCATAGTAATTATCTGTCTCAGCTGAGGGGTTGCGCTAGGCTTCAGTATAAGTTCCTTGAAAGGCAGAGGAGTAGCGTAGCTTTCAGGTTAAGTTATTTTTATTTAAAGGAGAAGTTTTCCGCCTGCTCTGGGCAAAGTGGTGTCTAGTCTTCTTCCCAGTCATCGTAGCTTTCTTTTCTTTCTGTTCTCTTTTCTCTTCTTTTCTCTCTTCTCTTCTTTTCTCTCTTCTCTTATCTCTTCTTCTGTTTTGCTACAATCGACGACTATATTGCAATTCGAATCTTAGGTCCTAGAGTAGGTCATTAACTGTTGTGCATACGGATGGCCTGAGGTATCATGGTATGCCTCCCAAGTATCTTGGTTTATCGAGTAGGATTTGGAAGCTTCTACCTCTTTGGTACCTGGTGGCAGCATGAGTTTGAGTGCTCCAGGCTTAGGCATTCTTCGATCCAGCTTGGTGATGGCTTTGACACGAACTTTGCGATTCCGCAGCATCATTATGCTTACTACCAATAGCACTAGTAGTACGCGTAGATCGTGAGTATATCATACCTTCCATGAGGGTGATGTATTCTTGAAGGTGTGTTTGGTTCATATGATGGATAAGATTCACACAAGCAGACGCATACACCCACGAACTTGATGAAGGAGACAATGGGTTGCCCAAACCACAGTCATTAGAAAGTCTTCATCATCTGTGTCCTATGTCTTTCACGGAGCTGGGTGACTATAAAAACCCCTGTCCTCTTGATACCCTGGAACTGGGACTTTTTAGACAGAGAAAGACTTAATCGGGTATTTTTTGATGTTCAATGTAACGAAAGAATCGTGGCATTGTCCTCCATCGAACAGGTCACTACTAGTATACCGGAATGAAGTTGATATGGTTATAAACTTCACATCCTAGACAATCGGTGTCATTAGTTGCGGCACTAGACTTGTGTTCTCATAGGTTTCTTCATATAGAGACTCTGGTTGTCACTTATCCTAGGGGTCTGATTTAGCACTGTATATAGTAGGCAAGTGAAAAAGGACATGGTGCAATAGTAGACTAGTAAATCACGTTCAAGTTGTTCTATGACTATACATAAATGATGACTTCAGTTACTACTGCTACTACTAGTAGTAATACTATTCGTGTTATGGTGCCTCTAATAATGCTGCAGTGCTTAGTTAATAAGAGATACACACACACACACACACACATATATATATATAGTATTTTTGTATAGTATGTGTTACTATATATGTTCAGTGAACCGTTGGTCATAAAACCCAACCCGTAACTCGGTGCTTCCGTGTTCAATATAGTCGGGCCATCTACTAACTTAGCACTCGTTAACCAGTAGCCTAGCAGAGCCTTGGAGTCTCTAAAGGGCATTAGATATATTCTATAACATCTCTATCCATACCATATCATCAAGCCACAACTTCCACCCGAATCCTCACCTCAGCCATATCCGACTGAAACCAGAACCCAATATCCTTCGTAGTATCCACGAGCTCTACCTCGCGTTTAACGAACCCCGGCTCTTTAGCACCATCAACACCTCCCTCCCCATCATCTTCACTATCCCAACCCTCATCATCCTCCATCTTCTCCTTGCTCACTGGGTCCAACTCATCGGTCTCCCAGACCAATCTAAAGCTATAAGGCCGTAGCCCAAAAAGTCGAGAAACAATAGCCTTGAGTTGGTATGTATCGAACGACCGAGGAACCTCTTTAACCTTAGTGACAACTCCCTCTGACCCGACATCCTCGGTCTGAGATAGACAAAACACCAACTTTACCAGCCTTGCAGCAACAGACCGCGGGTTCACAGCAGCACCACTAGCCCCTGACTCGGCCCTTCTGATATCAGGTTGACCATACAGCTCGCACAGCTCTTTGTATCTAGGGTGCTTAGCAAGGATGCTTGCTTCTGCTGTCTCTGGCGAAGCGGATAGCTCCTTTCCGATGAGGGAGAGATAGTATAGTTCTCCGTTATTGCGGTCCTTGGGGGTGATTTTGCCGTAGTTGAGCATCTGTAGAGAGCCGATGCGGGATAGGGTTAGCATGTACGCTTCGTCGACTGTCATGGGTTTCTCGGGCACGCCTGTGATGTGCGATGGGCCGACCGGCTGGTCGTATAGTGGATTGCCGGATATGCGGAGGGTGTCTAGGCCTGGGAATAGAGTAGGGAGGTAGTTAATGAAGTCCCATGTGGTGATCTTGTTGCGGGATAGGTCGAGGGAGTGGAGGCTTTGCGGGAATTGGAGAGCTGTGTCTGAGGTGTTGTTGGGGTCGTGGATAGTGGAGATGTTGTTTCCGCGGAGGGAGAGGTGCTCTAGTCTTGAGAGCGAGGCGAGTGATTTGATGGAGGATAGGGAGGTGATGTCGTTGTTCTCTAGGGTAAGGCGGGTGATGGTGTTGGAAAGGGGGGTTGTGAGGATTGAGAGTTGGTTTGCTGAAGCGGAAAGTGTGTTGAGGACGGGGAACTGATAGGTCAATGCTGATATCTCTTCCCATGATAGAAGGGTCTCGTCGATGTGCAGTGTCGTGATGCCCTCGAACTTCAAACCCTCCTCGAGAGAACCGAGTCGGTTTCCTCTGTTATCATGTTAGCTCAATCCAAATCAATCATCGCAGTCCAAGAGAACCTACATCAGCTTCAGTCCCTTAAGGAACTTCAACCGCTCACAAATCCGAGCTACACCACTCCAAGTCGTCAACAAGTTCCGGCTCAGATCGAGTTCCGTGATCTGTGGACAGGTCTGCTCAATCTCAGCATATGTAGACTCGGACTCTTCAGCTGATGCATGATGCCCCAGCACACCCGCAACTTGCAATCCATCAAGAAGCACGATCTTCAGCTCCTGGAGCCTAGCAAGCTGCTTCCGGATCTTGTCGAAGCCAACTTCCTCAACAACCTTGCCGCTGATCTCAATGGGCTTGTGCAGAGCATCGCCCGTAGCGTCATTTCGCTGTCCTTGCCTGACAACTTCTTGCTCGAGGAACTCAGATGCGTACTTCTCGCGCAGCGCCTCGATGAATCCTCGAGGTTTATCTGCCGGACGAGACGGACGAACGAATGACCCCGCTGTAGGGTGTTTGCTTTTGCCTGCTATATGTAAGCATGCATTCTAACCACCAGTCAAGCCTCAATCCCATGCGCAAGACTCAAGGCCCGAAAGAGGGGACTTACAAGTGAAATATTTCACCCCACGATGCTCTCCCGAATGCTTCCCTCGAGTCGGGTCATCCCATTCGACGCCTAGCCACTCCCCAGAGGTGCCTTCAACAGTACCCACGTAGCGAACGGTACACAGATCCCCAGCATACGACCGTCTCTGACCTACGTACATAGCCTCCATTCTAATATCGCCGAGAACCAGACCTCCTAAACATACAGTTCCGAACAAATAGATACAACGAGCGTCCCCAGCATGTGACGGATTTCCCACTCTCCCCGCTCCACCAATGGCAACCCACACCCGCGCTTACATAACTCTATATGCCTGAGGCAGAAGCTAATCTCCAAATCGGCGAAGCAGAACTTCCTCGACACTACTACGACGATATCATCACCTCCATATCCCACTGCTATCCATCTCCGCAACCACAACCCGGCAGGATGGATTACCAAGTAAGCAAAACAACACCCACCCCTCCATCATCTACACCCAAAACCCCATCACTAACAAAAACCCTCTCTCAAAACAGAACCGCGCGGGCTCCAAATTCGGCGGCGGCGGCGTAGCCTCGCACTCCGCCACGAACGCCGACCGACGCGAGCGCCTGCGCAAACTCGCGCTCGAAACCATCGACCTGGACAAAGACCCCTACTTTTTCAAGAACCACGTGGGCAGCTTCGAATGCAGACTATGTCTAACGGTACACCAAAACGACGGGTCATACCTGGCGCACACGCAGGGGCGGAAACATCAAACGAACCTTGCACGGCGCGCGGCGCGCGAACAGCGCGAGGGGAAGAATCAAGATCCGTCGTCTATTCCCGGGGCGATGGGCGTGCAGGTCAAGAAGCAGACGATTAAGATTGGACGGCCCGGGTATAAGATCACGAAGATTCGGGACCCCTTGACGAGACAGTTGGGCATGTTGTTCCAGTTGCAGTATCAGGAGATTACGCCGGGTGTGACGCCCAAGGTGCGGTTTATGTCGGCGTTTGAGCAGAAGGTTGAGGAGCCGCCGGATAAGAACTTTCAGTATTTGGTGGTGGCGGCCGAGCCGTATCAGACGTGTGGGTTTAAGTTGCAGGCGAGGGAGATTGATCGTCGTGAGGGACGGTATTGGACGTGGTTTGATGAGGATAGTAAGGAGTTTTGGGTTCAAATCATGTTTAAGACGGAGAGAGAGGAGAGATTTTCGGGTGTGCCGGGTTTGGCGCCTCTTAAGGAATAAGTCCTAGGGGTAGTGAATGTTTCTTTATTGTTGTTGCTGTTGTTGGTTTCCTGTTGAAGGTCGGGTATGGCGTTTCATGGGCTTGCACTGCTGGCAAAATGTTGTGGCTATCGTTCTTTCTATTCTATTGCTGTGTTATGCATTAGAGTGGCTTCGCATCAATACCATGCCCTCTTTTACTTGTTCTTCTAATGATACAATCTATCCACGATGAGAGTTTTAGTTCTACATGAGACGCAACTTCTACCGCAATTTTATGCATTGGCTAAATGCTAATAGCTACGGAACACAGTCCTGCATTCGCGGGCTTTTCTAATACATGATATGATATCCACTCATTTGTATCCCCGGTTAGATACAATACAGTCGGTAGCTAGCAATCGTCGTCTCGCGACACGGATGCAAAATCAATAAGGTAATAGGAAATGAACAATGCTAGGTCGTGACCAACTGAGGCGAAATGTCAAATGCGCTAGATGCTGGATGAAACTGATGCACAAGGGGATGCCCGAGACCAGAACCTAAATGCGCCACTGAAAAGCCATCAATGCAAGCCCGCCCGCTGTCGGACTCTTCAATGACGTCTATCGTGGGTTCACAAGGACACTCGGATGTCGACTGTATCTTCAATTTCCCTGGAAGGCGTTGAACGCTTTGTACGTGTATCCGATGAATGGAAGGCTCATCTCCGCCTCCTGCTCGTCCGGCATGGCGCGAGCCTGGGCGCGGTGGATGGCACTGGTGTCCTCCTGAGGAATCTCGTCGATCGGGAAGTACGACACGTCAATGTTCGAGCTCAGTCGCGGTTCGAACGGGGCACGGATGCTGCGCAGTTGCTCCCAAACGACTCCGCGGAAGAAGGGGTGGTTCTTGATCTGCGTTGCGCCGCCGAATTGTCCGCCATCGCTTCCGATACGGTGCTCTGTGTCGCAGAGGAAGCTAATCCAGAATTAGCATGATGCATCGGCGAATGACGCGCATAAAGCTTACCTTCTGATGAGACCCTCGGAGTCGCGCGAAAGAGTGAGTTCCTCGGGGAAGTACAAGCATTCTCTCCAGTTCACAATCTTGCGGTAGGTGTCGGTGGTGTCTTCCGCGCAGAACGGGGGCCAACCCACAAGGCACTCGAACATGATAGCACCTACAGACCACCAATCGCACAGGTAGGTGTATCCTTGACCGTTGAAGATCTCGGGGGCGATATAGTCCGGAGTACCGACCGTGGAGTATGCCATTGCGCGACGAGACTTTCTCCACGTGTTGATTTGGCCACGGTTGGAGACTGTCAAATTGATCGCATCGTTGAAGTAACCAGAGTTGCGGTTCTTGTCCTTTGACGTCGAGTTCTTCAGCAGGTTTTGATAGTAGGAGTTGTCGTGGGTCTTCTTTCCTCCGGTGGACAGACCAAAGTCCGTCAGCTTGACGTGACCACCACGATCCAAAAGAATGTTATCAGGCTTGATGTCACTATCGACGAAAACAATTAGCACCTGCTTCCCGCCGAACTTCGACTTTGCATCTGCTGGCCGCATCAAGCGCCAAGTACTTACCGGTGAAGGAAGCCGAGCTTGTGAACAGCCTCGATCGCCATGACAATTTCGGCCATATAGAATCGGGTGATATCCTCGGAGAAAATTTCGTACTTGATCAACATGGTCATCAAGTCACCACCAGGCAAGAACTCCATCAGCAGATACAAGTATGCGGTGTCCTGGAAAGAAGCATGCAGCTTCACCAACCACGGGTTGTCCTTGGAATCAGCAAGGATATCACGCTCCGCGCGAACGTGAGCCAGCTGGTCCTTCTTGAACATCTCCGTTTTGATCAACGACTTCAGCGCGTAAATCTTGCCATCGGTCTTCCGTTGTACCAGCTTCACCTCACCAAACGCACCCTTTCCGATAATTTTGATGGTCTGGAAGTTCTGTGGGGTCTCCTTGGTACGAAGGAATCGGAGGAAATTCGATTCTTTCTTAGCCAGCACCTCTGCGTCCTTGCACTTGTTCTCCTTGGGGATACTCGGTTCACGAATCATCTTGTCAAGCTCAGCAGACCTAGGAAACGCACCGAGTCAGCGCTACCAGTTTTCCAAGCAGGGGAGGGGCTGTGGCATTTGTGAATTACTCACCGCATGTTGCGATCGCGTGCGCGCTCGATGTTCTCATTGAAGAAGACGCTAACCAATTCCTTGGCTGCCTTACCACGCTTGTGGACATTTTCCGAGTATCGTTCGGGATACCGCTGCAACTCTTCGTTCTCCGCGGGGGTGCGAGGGCTACGAGGCATAGGAGGCGCCAGGTGGCCCGGCTGTTGCTGCCCGGAGGCGGGGGAGCCCGCAGTTCGGGGTCGCTGGGCTGGCGAGGCAGAACGAGCAAAGAAACCCGAGCGAGGGGAGTTCAGGTCCTGGTTCGAGAACTGCTGGATCAAGCCGTTGGTGCCATCGTTCGCGCCGTAACCCATGCGGGATTGGTAGGCGGGCTGAGGGGACTGCAGGTTCTGGCCATAATGCGGCTGGCCGTAGGCAGCCTGAGCTTGGTAGGGATTGGCCATGAAATAACCACCTTGAGCATAGGCACCGTTCTGGGTGTCCATATAATCCTGGGGACCCTGGTTTTGGTAGATCGGCTGGGGGAAGGCGGAGGGGGTAGTGGGATAGGCGCGGTTGTTGGCCGCCGCCGCATTGAAACCACGATCGTTGTACCCGAAATTCAGGTGGAGTCGGTTGTTGTTGTTGGGATCCATGATGGGAAACTTTCCTCCCCGACTACCAAACGAGGGCTAGGGAAAGCGGGGGGAGTTGAGAGCGAGTGGATGAAGAATTGGGGGGATGGAGATGGGAAAGAATAATCCAAGGGGGAGGGGGAAACAAGAGCCCGAAGGAGCGGTGGCCTCAGGAGGCGAAGGGGGGCTTTCGACAAGCAACTTTCAGGAGCGCTTTCTCGCTGTGTCCCTGAGATTGGCTTACCAGAGGGGGGTGAAATGCAGTGGAGAGGTCCAGGCACGACAACCAGAGGCTGGCTGGCTCTTCTGCCCCAGTGGCGGCAAGTCCCGTACTCCTAAGTTACTACCCTCTCTAACAAAGTATCTGTCGGGCAACCAGCTTTGTGTTTCAGGTTCACGATCCCGAATTGAAGTCGGAGACAAGGATAATATAGGATACCAAAGAAAAGACACGATGCTACTGCAACCACCACTACTACTCAAGGATTGATGATCCGATCAGCACGGGGGGAAAGAGGGGAACTGAAAAAGGGACCGATATTTAATGCTTAATGTTCCAGACTCATACGGCACTCAGTTGGTGCCACGAATGCTGTCTCACAATGATTGAATGTATTCGCTGCTACCATCTTCATCTTCCAATATGTCTTCACTGCCTTCAAAGGAGTATAAAGGATTAGAGACCTAGCGGGTGTATCCCTCACGATGACAGACTATTACCATTAAGGGAATGCTAGTGCTCCAGCAGTGATGAATGTTCCAGCAGCATATACCAATCATGTCTCCTTCTAGATGTCTATTCAGCTGGACGGGTTCGAAATTTACAATCTGAAACTCCAAGGGATCATCTGAGACCTGGTCTTTTTAGACTAAATCTCCGTGGTATGCAACACTGAGTTTAGCCGGGGTGCATCTTGTGCTGCTCCTCCAGATTCCACCTTCAACTCGGCATCCTCGCCTCCGGATAAACCCTCGTCCCGACCGGAGCTGCGCAGAGCATCCCGAACTTTTTCGGCAGTCATGCATTTCCCTTCACGACATGCCATGAGGGAGTGCTTCCTGCTCCCTGTTACGTACCAAAAGTTTTATTATTTTGTATCTTAATTATATACCCCGAATTCTTTTATACCCTTTCCCTTCCATCCCCCTACATCATGGCGGAATCCTCCAATTCCGCCGCGGCTTCAGGCCCGGCCCAGTCCGCAGCGTCCACCAGCGCTCCCAAGCCCTCCAACCCAGCCTTCAGAATGCTT